ACCAACCTATGTTTAATGTCCCTAGAGATACTGTTACTTGTGATTTTTACTTCATTCAAAGCAAGCTGTTGACTCAGTTGTATTTTTATAAACAATTTATTGGCAAAAAGAGACCACATAATCAGAATTACAATTAAAATAATTTAAAGGCTGGTAACCACGGATGAGTCTCTGAAACACTAGCAACTTTGTAATAAGATACTCTATAGCCTCAATGTCAAAGTCTTTTAACACCATTTTAATTCCATAATTTAAAAACAAATTCTGGGTTTGTTTGTGTTGTATCTGCCTGTGTGCAAAGCAAAGTATAACCAACGTCCAGCTACATTCAGAATTCATCCTTTGATGCTTTAGGCCCCAATCCAATTTTTAGATAACTGATCATCTTGTAAAATGGAGTGCAGCATCTTGCCTTTAAAGCTTGCTTTATCTTGCTGTATTGGAAGCATACTGGGAGAATAAAAATATATGTCTGCAGAAAGGATCTGTATGCGCAGTAGGTGATAAATTATCCTGAAGATAGGCTATAAAGCTTTGATGGGTGAGGCATTCCACTCAGCTCCTCACACTATGCCCTGTGTAACAACAGTTGACATCTTTATCAGAGTGCTCCTATTCTGTTTCCATTATAATAAAATCCAGAATAACTTCACTGATCTGTGTATGTGAAAAACTGCATTCCTGACTCTAACGAAGAGACCCATTTCTGAAAGCAACTTTATACTGCAGACACAGTGTCCTAAAAGTGCTGTTCTTTTGGCTAATAAAGGGAAAAAACAAACATGTCCATACATCAATTAACCACAACCAAGGCTTTGTAATGCAATACTTGAAAGGCAATTTTTAAACTATGAAGTGGTTCATTTACCTGTAAACCTGACTAGCCTACACATTTCTGCAGCTTTTCACTATTGTATGCTATATATGTATATTGTTCACTGTGGTACTTAACAACTGCAAATGGTACCATTTTTATTTAGCATATATATGCAATGTAAGGGATTACCACAGGCTCTTTGGTATGCACAGCATACTGCTCAATGCCCAAGGTCTTATATGAATAAACTGGGGGGGGGTGGGGGGGAACCCTAGTGTTTCTCCACTGCACAAAAAAATCATCCTATAATACAAGCAGCTGTATGAAATGCAGATTTGTGGTTGCTCTTACAGCTACAAATGTGGCCTTTCCTTATATTCACTTGGTCCAAATGTAAGCTACCATTCTCTCTGAGCCCAGTACTTCTCATAGTGAAAACTACAAAACAGCTACTCCTTCAGATTCTTAATGCAGCTTTTGGCTTACCTTACTCTTTTGGGATAGAAAGGAGATAAAAAATTAAAATAATATATAAAAATGACAAAACTCTCTTCTCAGTGCAAATTTTAGTACCTAATATGGTAAGAAGGTACCTTCTCTCTTTTCAGAACCTTTTAACTACTTCCACCATTGCTTAAAATGTATATATATACACGTAGAGATTCAAATACGTATAGGCAATCACAATAAAAACAGACTGACCCAGCAATATTTCAGCTGGAAAGTAAAAGCATGAAAGATTTATTAATGAAAGAAATCAGATAATTACAGCACAAACTCCCATCCATAATAAACATTTTAATAGCTATTAAAAAAATGCATAATGGAAAATTAGCATTGAAACAACTGACTGGTGTAGAAACAACATACAGGTGTAAAAAACAGATTATTTTTTTTTTGTTCTTAACTAGATAGACTAGATCTAAATTCAGATCATGTTTCCACACCTATGAGAAAACAGTCTCACACAGCATCATTCTTGCAAATTGCATCATCAAATAACATAGTACTTTTCTTTCATGGTTGCTTGTTAATGGACACAAATATGAAGCTCCGTCTGACCTTGGTAATGTGCAGTTTCATTACTGAAAATGTACTGACCTCCAAAATGAAGACTCACAAAACTGAAGCATAATACACATTAAGGGATCTAATCTCATAGTCTTCTAAATTTCCTGCATGAGTAATTATTGTGCACTTTTTGTTTGCCACATTTTTGCTTTAAGAGGGGGTGACTGATACAGTGGAAACACAGAAGAAGACTTCTGTACAGCAGCTGCAGCAGCCACAGTAGCCCTTGTACCCACAGAGGCAATATTGCACAAAAGGAATGCATGGGCAGGGGAAGGTGCAGAAGTGAAACAGGACTGAGGGGCAGGGGGCTGGACTGGAAAAGACATTTGAAGATCCTTTCCAACCCAAACCATTCTATGATTCTGTAATTGTGCCTGTCTCCTATGAATGGTGTAAGTTTGAAGGCAAGAGGACAAAGAAGGCTAATGCTGCCATCTGAAGATGACCCTGGAGGTGAGGTCAAGAGAGGTAAGGGTTATCTGCTGCAGGCTCTGACTCACAACTGTGAGAAGGAGTGGGTCACTGACTAGGCTTTGGAGAGCATTCCCAATACTATATGATATTTTTGCCTTGGAATCAGCTCACAACACTCGATTCTCCCACCAGATTTTTTTCAATTATGAAGTAAGTATGTGCAACAATAAATAAATAAATAAACATAAAAAAAAGCTCTCCTTTTTGCTTTGAAATGTTAAGATGTAGTACAAGAGGAGGTGAGTACAATTGCTGTAAAATAAAATATTGCCTGAACACCTTCCCATTGGAAAGAATTACTTTTAGAGAGTCTCCAGTTGCTCAGATGAGGCATTTCTGTTTACATCCCTATCTGAAAGAACAGGAAATGAAGTTACAAGCTTACTTTGTCAAGACAGGCATGAAAAATGACATAACATATATAAAGCAGATATTTCCACATTTTGATGTATAGTTAACTGCACATCTTTTATTAAAAACACAAGACACTAATCTAGTGTGCAGCACACCTGTATCTTTTCACCACAGTAGGGCCTGAAAGACAGAAAATAAATTACTTTGGGGAACTGCACAAAGCTACAGGATTAATACAGAAGAAAAGGATCCTAGCAGAGACAGGATGGGGGCAAGAACTAAAGCAAAGAAAACTGCTTTTGGAGCAAAAGAACCCAATGAATGCACAAAAACATGACTAGCAGGTTAGAAGGAAAGGAGACCTTCCAGCTGATACAGCAGCAGGAGATTGCCAGCTGTTGGCAAGAATCCTCTCCACACTAATAATGTGAAGGTCCATTCCTGTCCTCAGCTAGGCTGTGTTGAGCAGTCCCTAACTGTTGTCTGAGATGCAAATGGCAAAGCCAAAAAACCCAGAGGAATTAGATAAAAAGCCAAAGGTTTCACTCAAAAAAGTGAGAAATCAGGAACTTGTCAATTAGGACAGCAATGCCAGTCCAGCGTGCATACAGCTGACAGGAGAATATATGAACATACCTCTAGACTGTCTTTATCAACTAGAGACAAGCATAAGGCACACTAATGCAAAAAATCAATAGTATCATGCCAGTTCCTATTGGGAGGGAGTGGGAGGAGCAAGGAGTCTCAATGGTAGTTAAGATTATTTCAAAGGAGAAAAAACCCACCAGCCTGAGTTCTGTTAAATGATGGAAGCATGAAATAATTAAGATGGCTAATAATTAAGATGTATAAGATTATTGATTATTCACAGGGAAACTGTACTTAAGTGGAACAACAACTCTCATCAGTGAGAGACTAAATTAGTGCCCAGATCTGTCTGATAAAGACATCAGCAGACAAAAAGGTTGCTCTGCTCACACCAGAAAAAGAGAACACACCGACTTTCAACCTGATAAACATATAATAGAGCTATCAGAATAGAAACATTTTACACAAATGAGAAAAACAGGCATTGCCTAGCATAGATTTGAAAGAGAAGCAAATCTACTGAGAGGATGATTAATAAATATTTAAGTTCCTATGTTTTGAACAGCATGGCCCCACTGAGCAATCTAAATAAAAGGAAAATGCTTATATAAGTTTGATTGCAGTCTCCTCTTTTCCTATTACTGATCTCATTGTATTAGCATGCTCCCTTTTCAAGCTTCTGCAAAATAAAACACTGATTGATTTTGAGCTACCCTGACTAATAATCAAATATATCTGATTTTTCAAGCTAAGCTGTTAAAAATAGTTAAAATAGTTTCATTCACATACATCTGTGCATCTAGCTGCACAGTAACAGCCATTAAATATTTCACAGCATCCAAGATAAAAAATAGAACCTTCTTATTTGCAGATACATAATGCTATTTCAACGTTGGAAGTTTCCATGAAAGCATCAAGCTAAAATCCCCAATCAAACCTTTTCACACAGAGAAATTTATTTTTTTTTTTTAAAAATAAGAGTTATTTTTAGAAAATAGGGTATGTTCATTCCTGAACACGGAAGGTGTCTCGGGCAGGTTTCCACATATCTGCTTTAACAATCACAGACTCAGGGTGGTATTTTAAAGTTCTGAGCGGTAAAACAAGAAACTGCAAAGATTTACAGTAAGATAAAATGCTTACTGCTCTAACAGGCAAATTAACTTCAAAAGTGTGACATGCGAGTGCAGCCCTGAAAAAACACACGCTGCTTCATCACATACAGCAGTCCTCAGCATCTAAAACACAGGTAAAAATAGCTCGCAAAGGACGTGGAACAACAGAAATTCGTCCTGGATACAGGTCCAGGACAGCAGTGTCACTTGTTCCCAGCAAGGCAGAGCGTGCCCTGACCCAGGAGGGATCTCTGCCTCTGAGCAGTCAGCAGAAATACAAATCATTAACACCCTACAATAACTTCAGCACTTCACTTGGGGAAAAAAAATCCTCCTTTTAGCAATAACAAAAAGAGCAAGAGAGAGAGAGAGGAAAAAACCCCAGGAATCTATCTTCCTAGCAGGATCGTAGGCTGGGACATGTAGGAATGTTAAGTGAATGAGCCCCTGTATCAGGAGTTCTTTGTTGCCTGACAGTACATTGGAAGGACGTTCATATTTAGAAGTAAAAACATCAGGCTGTGTCTCTGGAAGGATGCACCGGAGCCCCTGGACGAGTAAGAAGGAAAGCACGTTACCTTTAGCAAGTCTCCTCAGGATCTGACAGCGGCATTTAAAAGAGACAGCTATCATTCTGGCTGCCTGCCTCCCCTGGCAAAGCACGCTCGGGGCTCTGCTCGGGTGAATGCAGCAGCAGCCTGTGAATTCCTCCTCCCGCACATACCAGGCAAAAGGTAGCCCCGGCGGGGAGTGACAAAGCTTAATTCCTCTTGGCTGATGCAGAGATCAGCTCCGTGTCATCCGGCAAAGCTGTGTCATTCACTACTCCCGCCGTCACCACCACCTGCGTGAGGAGATGAAGGGCTCAAAAAGCCGTATTTCTTTAGGAGCTACAAAACATCCAGCTGCACACGCAGACGTGGAAATTAGAGGGACGCATCCCCCAGCCTCTCGCGTTCCCTGACCCTGCAGGGAGTGATGCTTGCTGTGCCAGGCAAAGGGCCCCACGTTTCAACAAGACATGGTGATTTTCCTCCTCCTTCCTCATATCTATCCCTTTTTCCCTTACTGTTTCCTCTGGATAAATAGGGCAAAAACATAAGGAATCCTACTTCTGCGAGAGAAGGACCCCATTTCAAATGGAAATATTCCAATCAAAGCACATTAAAGATTTAATCCTACCAATCTGTAAGGAAGAAAAAAGAAAAAGCCTGATTTGATAACCAGGAAAGCTTTTTGACAATTGTGGACAAGTATATTACAGCCGATGAAGCACAGACCACAGGGGGAGGGAGGGAGGGAGAGAGTGGAGGGAATTGATGGATTGTTGTGTGTGGGCAGGACCACCAAGCATTTGATCACACCAAAATAAAATGATGCTGAATAGAAAACACACAGCAAATTGAGTTTTCTGCCTTCACTAAAGGGAGAAGAGAGTAGATTTTAGAGCAGCTGAACCAAATGTGGCACCATTTGTAAGATTTCTTCAGCTCGTGAGGAATTTTATGCCTTCTCATGCCTATTCAAACAGCAAATTAACCTGCTTTTACAATCCATTCAGCAAATTATGAAGTAGAGCATACCACTTAAACTAGAGTTCTATACCACCTTTATGGACAAAATTCCATACCCATTTTAAAAAAAACCAAGCAAGCATACCAAAACATTCCATATAGAGTTTTTCACATCAAATCTGTGCAAAAACAGAGTCCTGCACCAGATACTCTCCTTTAAGACAATGGATAATTATTTCTTTCTCAGAATTTATGCTTCACTTGACTGATATATTTAAAACTGTCTTCATATATTCTGTCCCGTTCACGTGCTTTAATTACAAAATTGCTAAATTTATCTTCCGCCATCTTTTATCCATCACTGTGTTTAATGTTATGATCCAGTGTCATGGTGCACAGCTACAGAAAGTCAGGAGGACAAATGGACAGCTTCCACACTCTGAGATGTTTCTCTCTCCCTGCTTGCTCTTCACTGTTTCAGAAGTTCTGTGCTTCACACAGTACAACTCCAACTACTATTAGATTGTTTTTCTTATTTTTGTTTTATTGGTTAGACCAACAGCCATATCTCCAAGGATAAGGTGAAACCCTCCATCATCACCGTTACAGCTGCCTAGACAGACCTGGTGAAAATTGATTTTATTTCATTTTCAATAACTCCAGATAGGGGTATTGGAGTCATCTGTTCACCAGCCTTGTTAATTGCTTCTTGTAGCTGCTCTTGTACCAGAGAGCCATAAAACCCAAGCGGTGGGACAGCAGATGCACCTGAAGTGAACAGATGGCTCCATCCTTGTAACCACAGACCTCTGGCCAAGGATGGACAGGGCAAACAAGGAGGGGTGAAACCAGAGGATGAAGGTGGAGGTTTACATCAATGTAATTCAGTAGTCCTGAAAGAAAACAAAAAATATTGGGACTGTTATGGAGAGGAAAGGGGAGAGAAGTTGTGTGCTCTTGTTCTCCCATAAAGTGGCTCTCTCTCTGGCAATATGTTTATAGATGAAAAGATTTGCCACCGCTGTTTCTTGCCACCTCCTGCTCAAGTAACAGCACTTCACACCAAGAATACCAATAAACACCACCTTATATCTGCTTTCTTTTCTCTCTGCTCCCCTTGGAAAGCTGTTCCAGAAACCAAAGGCTATGGCTTAGCACACAAACCCTGTTTACAGCTGTTTCAGGGTTGAGATGCCAAAGCTGCCTGAACTTGCTGTTCTCTTTCTTCAGATTGGCATCCAGGACCCCTATTACTGCCTTTTCATCTGCCAGATGCCCGTCCTCGATGCCATAAACCTTGCTGGACCTAGGCAGACCAGTTTAATCACTTGCCCTTAACTCATGTTACCAGAAGATACAGCAAGATGGTAGTTTAGCTGCCCTAACATTTGTTCTTTGATTCTTCCCAGTCAGCTGTGGGGTCAGCATTGTCTACTCCAGGCAGTAAGGTCTCCACTCCCACCTCTTTGGATATGGCATATTGGACCTTGCCACAACCTGCATCAGTGCCAGGTCAGCCTGCAGTGCTCCTTCTGCCCTTCAAAAGGAGATGATTTTGGTAAGCAGGTCTCAAATCAAGAGTCCACTTTGGTGCAATTTTAACATTGTTGAAGACTTCTGCTGGACAGAGAATGGCAAGAGGTTGTATCTACACCATGAGGAAGAACTGCTTGCTGCTTGCCTTTGTGATGTGACTTCATGACTTACCCTGGTTCAGCCCCTTTGGCAGAGGGTGCAAAACAGAAGACACAGAGCTAAGAGGCTGCAAAAGACAGACACCAGAGAAAACTCAAGGCTTTATGTCAGGAAACGCTGAGTCGCAATGGGATTAAGTAGAAATGTGTAAAACTGCAATAACTGTACAGAAACTGTGATATATATGCAAAACCAGACTTGCTCAGATAAAGCTTTACTAACAGTGAAAGAATACATTCATTCCTTGATCCAAAAAGCTTATTGTATTGTTTACTACTTCCAGAATACTGGTGTGTATGTTAAATAGCCTCTGAAGCACTGCAATAGTCACTTCCAACCAAGTCAATCGGATGATTTTTACTTATGTTTCTTGAGACAATTTTTCTGTCCTTGCCAAGAGAGGTCATGTACATATTTGCATTTCTCAAAAAGGTTTCAGAAGACAAAGAATTCATACTTCAAATACAGCATGGAACATAATGATCTATTGTATGTAGTGCATATTTTTTCCTCATTTTTGCTAGGTCTAGAAAAGATCCAGTTATTGGAACCAGTTCTAAAATACTCACTCATGATAGACATGGTTTTATCACCTTCTTTGAGGATGACAATCATGAGGATGAACAGAACTGTTCTTGTCCAAACTCCTACTACTGAAATTAATTTAACTATACCTCACATGTTTTTATATACACATATATATATATATGCATATGTATGTATATAATTTTTATTTTTTTTTACCAAATCAAGTATTTTGTGGTTTTTGAATGTTTCAACATTCCAAAAGACAGCCATCATTTTCTGAAGTGTCATCCATTCAACTCTGCTGCTAGACTTGGTTTCAGGAGGAAAAATGGAGGAAGAGGCAAAAACAAAGAGGTTCCTAATATAGTATTAGGAGATCCAAAATCCTCAGACATACTAAAACATTATTTATAACACAGGTTAAACTATAGTAATTATATTTCTTCCTTATTAATTAACAGAGCTACATATTCAGCTACAATTTCCTCTGGATTCATCTGTAAAAATCTTTCTTCATTGTGATCCTTTTGGGCAGCAGCATGAATTTTATCACTTTTATTGCTGCACTCACTCCTTTTTTCAGGAGTCTGAAAGATTATTTATAAATCTAGAATATATATAACACACAAATACTTTATCAACTGAATTTTTATTCATAAGTACTCAGTAGAAGGTCACTAGATGAAAGAAGCTTGTATTTTCATACGATTGGACAGGTAGTGTAATATATGTATCCTATTTAACACAAACTTCTGGTTAATCTTATTGGATCACATTAGCTGAAATAAATGAATCAAAAATGTTACTATCTATTACACTTCTCTGTAGGATAAAAAAAAATGTAATGAAATTTCTCTAAATGAAATTGAAGATTACAATCTTTATACAGTGTGACATTTAGTTACAATGAGGAAATTTCTGTGAAGAACCAGTATTCAATGAAGAATAAAAATTCTACAAAATATGAAATCAGAGGGAAAAAAAGTGTTTGCAAAAAATGAACTTCTAATGCAAAAAAACACAGCCTTCTGTTTCACAAGAATATACACACCTGGAAGACACCCTAGGTAAAATTCCCCTCATGCTGCATCAAACATTTCCTTTCACACAGTGACTGAACAACACTTTAAAACCAGTTATACACCATCCCCCCTTTCACTTGTCAGGGGGTTTGTCCACATGAGCTGCTATAACTGGTTTTGGGTGCTGCATACTCCTATTTTTCTTTATGGCCTAAGTTTGTGTGTGACCACACTGAGGCAGATGCACCACAGAGAATTCATCTGGTCACAGTGACATCCACCACAGACCCAGACCTTTAAAGAAAGCCAACCCATGGGGTTCAGCAAGGACAGTGATGTATTCAAACAACAGTATCAGCAAATCATTAAGGCAATGAGAAAGACATGCAGATATCAAGCATTTCATGTGTCAGGAAGACACAGTAGTACCTGCTGGATCTACCTGCCTATGAGAATTGAAATGAAATGTTATGAAATCTGAGTGCATAAGGATTTTGTACAAGTCGGTGTTTTGTTTCATCATTTTACAAGTTATCACTGGCACCTACCACATTAGTCAAATGGAAAGTCAGATTTTTAAGAAACAAAGAGACTTAATTTAGCTCTGAAAATAAAAAATTGCTATACGGATACTTCTGTTTTGAAAATGAAAATATTTCCACTATAGTATTTGATACAACCTTATATCAACACCAGAAATCTCTATCTGAACAAAATTTTTCATCCCAAAGAGAATACTGTATTCCCATTCAGCAGCAGGCTCAATCAGTCCTGCATTTTGCAATGAATACTGCTCCATTATGAAGAATCCCCTTCACTACCGGAAGAAGGAATAAAAAGGCGAGTGAAATAAAGACACCCTGTTATTCCCCAGTGCTCAGATTATCAAAACAGACAACTTGTCAGCTTTGCATAATTTGGAGGATCTTGTAAATTTACATTTTTATTAAATCAACTACAGCAGCTATTTTCTAGCTTTATTAACCACCTCTGCAACACTGATGGGTAATTTCACGCAGGCATTGCAGAAGAATGTCATTAGGAGTCATAAAAGCTGCTCTGGCTCCAGAAGATCCTCACTGGAGAACATGTCACGTACGAGATGCAGCATGTTGAAAAGCAAGGACGTGTGTGTTGAAAGTGGTT